GGGCCGGGGCCCGTCCGGGCCCGCCGCGGAGGGTGTCTTCTTGATAGAAGGTCGGCCCCACCACGCCGCGGTCGGGGGCCGCTGCGTGGTACGTCCGGCAGCACGTCGGTGGGGGCTGCTGATCTGGTCGCCTTCCAGGCGGTTGAGGAGCGTGACGCACACCACGGCCGCTGCAAAGCGCGAAAGCCAGGTCAGTGCGGAGGGCCGGGCCTGCTTGGGTCCCCGGGACCAGAGGGGTGTCGCCTCTGGTGCCCCCCCCCCCCCGCGCGCGCCTTTCCCCGGGGAGGAGGGCCGACCGTGGAGGCCAACAGGGGCAGAAGCGGGGAGGGCGGAGGGCCGCCCCACCCTGTTCTCTTCTCCTTCTCCCCTGCCTTTGAAACAAGAGACCAGCTCAGGGACCACGAGAGGCCAGACGGGGAGGCAGAGGTCCTGGAAGGCAGAGCTGGGCCCTGACGGGTGAGACTCCGAACTGGAGGTGGACTAACCCCAATTCAGAAATCCCAAGAGCTCTGAAGGCCAGATCCACCGGAGCCGGCAGGGAGGCCGGCCTGAGCTGAGGCGGGACCCCGCACCGTGGTCATCCCTTGGTGGCACGTGGGTCTCGGCAGAGACATTGTCAACCACGTGACAGTCGCATGAGGTCTGCGCCCAGCGCTGTGGGATGAGCCCGGTCCAGGAACACGCCCCGGGGGCGGGGTGGGCGCAAAGCAGACGCGGGCGGCGGGTTGGGGGGGCCGGGAGGAGGGACTGCGGCCCCAGTGCCCACCCACCTCGGAGGCCACAGGCGTTGCACATGGAGGCGAAGACCGAGGCCTCCATCTCGATGTTGCGGATGCCGGCCGCGTAGGCCGCCTGCAGGTACGTCTGCTTGTCCTTCTCGGTGTAGGAGCAGAGGGCGCCGTCCAGCCGGGCTTGCCCTGGAGAAGGTGGAGGGGTGCCAGGGTTGACTTGGGAGCGCTCACCGCACGCACGCTGCAAGCCCCGACGGCATGCCCGCCCTGCACGGCGCCACGCACCAGATGCAGGGACGCTTTGCGCCCTAGGGGCCCTGCCCGCCCTGCACCAAGCCGCCGGCGGTGGAAGCAGTGAGGGACAGCAGCCCCTGGCGTCACAGACCACCCACCCCCACCCCCAGACTGCAGACCAGCGGCCCCCCTCACCTTCGTAGAAGTCCAGCGTGCACATGGTGTTTCCCACCACCGTGGGGAACTCGCCCAGGTCCGCTGAGCACTGCACCAGCTCCCACACCAGCCGCTCGTCCAGGTCCGTGCTCCGCACCACCCGCTTCCCGAGGACCATCTGCTCGAACTCCGGCTTGAAGCAGGCGTCCACTGCCTGCCGGGTGATGACCACAGAGCCAGGCTCCAGACCTGGAGGAAGAAGCGGGTGTTGTGGCCACTCTGGGAGGGCGCGGCAGCGCGCGGACAGAAAGGACAGGACCCGTCTACACGCCAAACACTGACGACCAGTGATGTTCTAAAAAGAAAGAGGTAAGGATCCCTTTTTCCCGGCAGCCATTTTTCTGATGACAGAAAACATGGAAGAGAAAAGTGCAAAAAAGGAAGAGACATTGCCAGGCGCATCCCCATCCCGTGCAGACTGTGTCCTGTCTTCCAGTCCCAGCTGTGGCGAACTGCCTGGCACTCCCTCACTGGAATGTGGTTAACTGGTCCCTGTTTCGTACGTTTCTGCTGTTTGAGATTTCAGGTCAATACAAATGTGGACAAGAATGGTGTAACGAACGCCGTGCACCCCAAACCCAGCTCCAGCCGTCACCGGCTCCGGACCGAGCTCCCCGCCCTCCGGGACTGATCCACGGGGAGGTTCTGCCCACGACTCCCTCCAGAATCCTCTCTGATTATCGACTGTAAAATCCCTGCAAAGCCAGAGCCCAGTTTTCAACAGAAAACCGGCACAGAGCTGGGCTGTCAGAGAGCAGGACAACTACCGTAGAACAAGTTGGCCTCTAGGAGTTTGGCTTAAAACTCAGCACAATTTGAAAACAAAAGCAAACAAACAAACAAAAAAAAACCCTCTATGTTTACTGATGTTCTAAATTATTTTTGTTTTCAATTTAACTGGTTTCTGCTCTTTATTATTTCCTTCTGTCTTGTTTAAGTTTATTTTGCTTTTCTATTGCACATTGTTTTTTTGTTTGTTTGGGTTTGGGGGAGGTAATTAGGTTTATTTCTTTATTATTTTTTTAATGAAGGTACTAAGGATTGAACCCAGGACTTCATGTATGCCGGGCACGCACTCTACCACTGAGCTATACCCACCCCCTCCAAAAAAAACTCAACACAATTTTTAACATTTTGCTTTCTCATTGCGTCCTATTCTTTCTTTGCTGTCTTTTGTAAGAACAAACAATAACAAAAAGGACGGGGACTTTTTAGGCAACTTGAGGATACCGTTCTTAATTTGTGTTCTGTCTCTCCCCTTTGATTTTTCTGTCGTGTTTCTCATAAGGTGCTTGAAATCCTTGCAGGAGTAAGGAGGAGTGAGCAAAGCGAATGAGAAAGACAGAGAGAGAAGAGGGGTTAGAGAGAATGAAAGGAGAGACTCTAGCAACCAAGGAGGCGCACGTGCAGAACGCCCTCCAGCACGAGCGCTCGGATGCACCGCCTGGTGCCTTTGGGCTCCTGCTTCTGGGATGGAGGTTGGGAGCTGGACCAGAGAAATAAGGCAACGAGCTTCTCTTCACGCCTGCTGGTAACGAGCCTCCTTGGGTGCAGCCGAGGTGGACACCCCGAGTGCCCCGCTGCCCACCCAGTCCCCTGCGCACGCAGCAGGGCCCTCCGCACACTGACCTATCCCGCCCGAGGTCCCGATGCGGATGGCGGTGACGCCGGAGCACCGCGCGTGGTACAGCAGCTTGATGAGCTCGTGCAGCATGATGGCGATGGAGGGGATGCCCATCCCGTGCTGGAACACCGGGAGAGAGGCGGGCGTCACGCGTGGGGCGGGGCCTCCGCACGCGCTGCTGGTAAAGGAGGGCTAGCTGCGGAGCGACCTTTTAAAAACCCGTTACCACTTTGGGAAGTGCACAAGTTTGCACACACCTGTCCAGCAGATGGCCCCATGTGATCCACACGTCCTGCGAGATGGATCGCAGTTGAGGACCCCCCGCTGCAAGGATGCAGCAGCCCGCTGATGCTAGGTAACAAACAGCCCCCTCCATTGGAAACCCTGCACAAATCTTCCCTTTTCACCACGAGCTCTGCTGCAGCCAAACTGAGTAACTGGCCAGGGGCTCAGCAGGATGGAGGCTGATGCCTCCGTGATTCTATCTGTGCTGTTTCCTCCCATCCCTCTGCCTTCCCGCCTCCCACCCTCCCGGTGCCACAAGCCACGTGCTGCTCCCACGGCAGAGGCTCTCCTTGGAGAGTCTGTCACGGTGTCTGGCATGTGGGAAGCTGTCTTCCACGAATTATCTGGACTGCACACCCCTTGGCTCTAGGCAGCGTTCTGGATGGCTGATGAGCCTGCCTCCGCCCCCCATCTCAGCCAACCAGAGGGGTGGAGGGCCTTGTCTCAGCCTCGGGGACGGCCTTAGCTCCAGGTAGCACTGCCTTTGTATCACTACCTACAAAGGGAGCCCACACTAGAAAACGAGAAAAACCGGAGATTGCTGTGTTCACACATTGCTAAATGCCAGGTGCATGAAGTAGTAACCCACTGTGAGGTGGCCGGCCAGGGGGGGATGGATGGCCACCTGGTCCCCGGCCCTGGCTCCCCTCCCAGGTCTCCAACCTGGGTCCTCACCGTGGGCAGCTGGCTGGGTGTCTCTGCATGTGTGTTTGCATATGCGTGTGTGACTCTCCTGAGGACAGGGCCCCACCACAGAGGACGGGTACTCACGCTGACCGACAGCACCGGTCCGACTTTGAACATGGCGTAGCGGTCAGTCCCCACGCAGATGTTGGGGTAGTCTGCCCCTGGGTGGTCCAGGCCCAGCTCCCCCGCCACGTATTTGATGAAAGCTTTCATCCGGGAAGGGCTTCCCCCAACACATACGAACTGTAACAGAGGACAGAGCCGCAGTCAGCACAGGCACCACGCCGTCTGTACAGCAGGACTCCCCAAAGGGGGGCCCTGGACCAGCCATGGCAGCATGTCCTAGAACTGGCTAGAAATGCCTCCCCCCGGACCTACTGCGTCTGGGGAGCCGGCGATGTGAGCGTTGTGGAGCCTCCTGGAGCTTCTGACACTCGCTCAGGTTCATGGCATCACCGCTCAGTGCAGGAGGCCCCAGCGGGGGCCGTCACCTCCACAAAATGCAGGTTACCTGCACCCTTGCTCTCTCGGGGAGGGTGAGTCCGGGTCCCCTGCTTGCCCGGTCTCCGCCCATCACGGGGACAGCAGATCACCGCACTGGAGGCAGCCTGGGTTTGGAATCAGATGGTGGGGGCTCCTCCATGTGTGACGAGGGTCCCACTGCCATCTGTAGCACTGGCTTCTAACCCTTTCACCAGCCAATGCGTGGAAGGAGTCAGGAAACCAGCGTGGGACTCGAGAGGTCACAGGTATGGGAGGTAGGTGCGTGGATCTCAGAAAAGTAAAAGCTTTCATCCGCAAAGTGGCACATGTGAAAACTTCCGGGAGGAAAATCAAGGACACAAGCCAGTTTTAAGGAGTTGGACGATCAAAGGATGATCAGTCTCTAAACATATAAAAGAAAATGTCTACAAAAAATAAATGATAGTTTAAGCTTGATGGAAGAGTGAACACGGAGCGAATTAAGAACACAGGGAACATTGTCCTACGGTTTGAAACTGACAGCACGAAACAACTCAGCTCCATGGCTGACGAGACACAGAAGTCTCGGGCCGTTAGGACCCCATGAGGCGGCAGTGGGTTCTGGTCTCCCTGGCTCGGGTCAGTTTTGAAGCCTAAACGTGAGTCCGTTTTTACCCACGGGAATTAGACACTTTAAAAGTCCTGGGCTATGGAATTTGACACAACATTGTAAAATGATTATAAATCAATAAAAAATGTTAAAAAAAAAAAAAAAGAGCCCTGGGCTAGAAATTGACACATTATAAACTGACTATACTTCAATTAAAAAAAAAAGTCCTGGGCCAGAATCAGTCAGAACTGCGGAACTTCAGGCTTTGTAGAAAAACGACTAGAAGCTGCATTCAGCACAATAAACCATTAAAGGCAATTAACTGAACAGTGTCCACAGGCATCTTAAATCACAAACAACCCGCACACTCTAATTACCCTTCCTTATTCCTCGCTCCCCTAGAAAACGTTTGGAACCTGCTTTTCTCCCCTCCTCAATGAAGCGTTAGGATGTTCACTTTCTATTGTGTCAATTTCACACTAAATTTGTAAGAGATTATTAATTAGGAACCAAGTGGTCAGTATCTGCCACAGTTTTCTCACTCTGTTGAAATAGCTCAAGTCCTTGAAAAGTAACAATTTGCAAAACTGATGGACGTATAACATCATGATCTTGTCCTCCGTCACCTCAGCCCTGTGTGATGCAGTCTACCCATATCAGCTGCAGGGAGGGACATCTCGAGACAGATCCCCAGGGGGAGGGGACAGCTCAGTGGTACAGTGTGTGCCTGGCATGCACCGGGTTCTGGGTTCAATCCCCAGTCCATCCGTTAAACAAATAAATAAACAAATAAACCTAATTACCCACTCTGTAAAAACGAGACAAACCCCCAGAGTCAAAAGCCCAGTTTTGTACCTTCACGTCTCCGAACATCGCCGGGAAGTCGTGCGTGCTGGTGCTCAGGCTGAAGTGGTACAGGACGTCTTCCTTCATTGTCGCTATGTTTGGGTTGCGAAGCTGGACGAGGTCACTGTTCCAAAGCAGGAGAGAAGAAGGCTGGTGAACGAACACCAGTGTCCAGCACGATCACAGGAGTGCCCCATGTCAGGGAGACGCGGGGGCACATGGTTGGGCGGGGACCCAGCACCTCAAAGGCTCCCAGTCTCCATTCTTCCCTCTTCTCCTCTCCCTCCTCCCCTCCTCTAAGTTGACCAGAAACAACTCAAAAGAGCACCAAAAAGGTCAAAGATCAAAATGCTAGATTGTCCATTTAAGGGTGTCACCTGCTGCTCCCCAACTCAAGTTCACACATACATACATACATACATCCTTTTTGGTTAGAGGTCATTACAAGGTATTGAATAGAGTTCCCTGTGCTGTACAGTAGGACCTTGTTGTTTATCTATTTTATATATAGTAGTTAGTGTCTGCTAATCTCAAAATCCCAATTTATCCCTTCCCACCCGCTCTACCCACTGGTAACCATTTGTTCTCTATGTCTGTGAGTCTAGAACTGGCTAGAAATGCAGTCTCGTTCCCTGGCCTCCCCTAGACCTACTGCATTTTGTAAATAAGTTCATTTGTATCACATTTTAGATTCTACACATAAGTGATATCATGTGGTATCTGTCTTTCTCTGTCTGACTTACTTCACTTAGTGTGGTCATCTCTAAGTCTATCCATGTTGCTACAAATGGCGTTATTTCATTCTTTTTCATGGCTGAGTAGTATTCCAATGCATAAACATACCACAGCTTCTTTATCCAGTCATCTGTTGATGGACATTTAGGCTGTATGCATGTCTTGGCTGTTGTAAGTAGTGCTGCTGTGAACACTTGGGTGCAGGTGTCTTTTTGAATTGGAGTTTCCTCCAGATACATGCCCAAGAGTGGGATTGCTGGATCATATGGTAACTCTATATTTACTATTTTTAAGAAGCCTCCATAGGGTCCTCCATTGTGGCTGCACCAAACTGCATTCCCACCAGCAGTGTAGGAGGGCTCCCTTTTCCCCACAGCCTCTCCAGCATTTGTCACTTGTGGCCTTTTTAATGATGGCCATTCTGACCGGTGTGAGGTGATACCTCACTGTAGTTTTGACTTGCATTTCTCTAATAATTAGCAATTTTGAGCATCTTTTCATGTGCCTGTTGGCCATCTGAATGTCTTCTTTGGAGAAATGTCTATTTAAGTGTTCTGCCCAGTTTTTGACTGGGTTGTTCGTTTTTTGTTATTAAGTTGTATGAGCTGTTCGTGTAGTTTGGAAATTAAGCCTTTGTCAGTTGCATCATTTGCAAGTATTTTGTCCCCATTCTGTAGGTTATCTTTTTGTTTTGTTGTATGGTTTCCTTGGCTGTGCAAAAGCTTACCTCCTTGCTCAGATTTATTACTAAGTATTTTATTTTTTGATGGGATTTTTAAAGGATTCTTTTTTACTTTCCTTTTCTCATATTTCACTGTTAGTGTAAAGAAATGCCACTGGTTTCTGTATGATAACCTTGTATCCTGCTACCGTACTGAATTTATCGGCTCTAATAGTTTTTGTCTGGAACTTTTAGGGTTTTCTATATATAGCATCATGTCATCAGCATATGGTGACAATTTTACCTCTTTTTTTCCTATTTGGATCCCTTTTATTTTTCTTGCCTGATTGCTGTGGCTAGGACTTCCAAGGTTATTTTGAATAGAAGTGGTGAGAGTGGGATTCCTTATCTTGTTCCAGATTTTAGCAGGGAGGTTTTCAACTTTTCTCTGCTGAGTATTATGTCGGTCGTGGACCGACTTCTATTTTTACTCATTTATTTTTGCTTTGTTGTGATAACACGAGTTATTTCCCGGGAAAACGAGTCATACGTTAGCCATCAGTAAGACAATCAAGAGGTAACGCCTATACTGGACACCCGCTCTGTACCACCCTGAGACCTAGAGCTGGCTCCAGGACAGCGCCCACCTCCAAGACGCTGGAAACCTGGTAAGACAAACGGATGTGAGCAAGAACAGTTATGGAACCGCGTCGACTGCCGTAAGACAGAGAAGCGCACAGCCTGCAGGAGAGACGGCGTCTGACTTACTTGTGTTCTCCAGGCTTCTCCGTTCCAGCACATGCTGAGGCCATCCTCTCAACCGAGGCAGGGCCCTGGGGGACGACAACACACAGTCTGTGAGCAGGACACGCTGAGCGCTTCCGGAGTTTATCTGAGCGCACGTGGATTGGAGTCAGCGGTCGGCGGGGCGGGGCAGGGGAGAGGCTTCAGGGAGGAGGTGGAAACCAAGAAAGGACGTTGATGAGCTGTAGCACGAAGCCCAGATGGCCGTGCGTGATCGCTGCCCTTCGCATTCTGATTTTGTAACCTCCAGGCATTTGCAGTTTGGACCGATATCAGTTTGCTGACCGCCGTGGGCTGCTGTGACATCAGAGCTCCCTCGGGCCAGTGGGCTCCTTTAGTTAACTGAACACTAGTGAACCGCCCCCCAGTAGGAACCAAGGTCACTCTGACGGTCGGCAAGGCCACGCCCATCTGTGGAAGGTCAGCGCCGTCCAGCGGGCCTCTCCACGCCTACACCACACGCGTGTATGTATACGTGACCTGGAGGGTGGCTAATTTCAGAGAGGAGCCACGTGGGCTGGCATCTCACACTCCGGTAGAAAACCTGTCCTCGCTTCCTGGTCTCCCGGCCATCATGGCCTTGACCGCGCTGGGCGGCCTCACCACTCTCCTCCAGGAGGCCTCGAGGACAGCTCCAGGGAGGGGCCTGGCAAAGGCACCAGCTCTCGGGGGGCCTGTCGTGGAGGGACAGGAAAGACGGAGCAGGTGTGGACCAGCCCTGCCCTGATACCACCCCAAAGCCAGAGGAAGGAAACACTCCACGTACGTAACCACAATTATTTCCCTGGGGTTCAGCCATCCGAACACTGGCCCTAAGACCACATCCCTGCAGAGCTGAGCCTCAGCGCCCGCCGGAGGTGAACTCAGTTCATAAAGTCACAGGGCAACCCAGCAGGCACAGACCCTCCCTGCACCCTCTGCCTTAGCTCCTCTCCCAGGTTCCCGGGTAACGGTATCTGATGCACACCTCCTGAGTTGTCTCACAGATGCTAAAACCCCCACTGGATGGAAGATGTTCGCTGCCTGATGACCTTAAGCACATAGCAACCCCGGACTCCTGGAGCCTGAGGACTGCTAATGTTGACCCTGTGACACCACCCTGTGACCACACCATCAACCAGAGAACCGAGCAAGAGCTAGTCCCAGACGCTGCGACCCCCTCCCTCACCTGGCCTTTCCAAGAGCTTTCCTGGAACCCCTCGGGGAGTCCGAGTGTCTCCAGCATTAGCTGCCCGTTCTCCTTGCTGCGTGCTTGCAATAAACGCTGTACTTTCCTTCACCACAACTGGGGTCAGTAGGCTGGCTTCACTCCGTGCAGGCGAGCAGACCCTCGCCTGGTAGGTTTGGTTCGGTCACCGCAGTCCCTGAGCAGCTGCCACCGTACCTGTAAGCACATGTCCCTGCTCCCCTGCCAGCCTGGTGGGAAGGGCACAGTCCTTCTTCACAGCAGGAAAGTGAAGCCACAATTAAGCAGTGACTCACAGGGGGTCACAAAGATGGTAGGTGCAACCATCCCCAGGTCAGATTCTCAACCTGCTACCTCACCAGCCACTCACAAAAACTGGAGCCCACCACGCTCAAAGCACAAAGCCCTCTTTCTGGAGAAGAGGATGGACAACGGCTCTTACACAGTTAAATCCTGACCATTTGGAGCAAATTCTGAAAATCAAAGAATATTATAATAGTTGCAAGACAGGAAGACAAGAGTACAGCCATCTGGGGAAAGGACCAGGAGTGGTCTTGGACAAGACAGGCCTTGCAAGGCAAAGAACAAAGGCTCTGGGAGCCTGAGACCCAGAGACAAAAAAACAAACAAAAAAACAGGCTGGTGGGAATCAAAGACGAACTTCATCTCTGTGGCATGATTATACTCAGCTGCCGCAAGTCAGGAAGTTCAGACATGCATTTTAACCTTATCTTTCCGACAATTCCTTGCAGAAGACCTTAATGCATTTCTCTCTCCCAGCAGAAGCCCTCACTATTCCCGGGGGGCCCATCGTGGAGGCGTCTGCTGCTGATCAGAGACGATGGGAGATTTCTGGAAATGATCAGTGATCGTGAGACGAGCTCTGTCTTCTACTCAGGGAACTGGTTGTTTTTTTTTTTTTTGCCCCCACCTCCCTTGTGCACAAGCTGACTTTTCTAATAGAAAGCTTGGCTTGCCTGAGTCTTGTAGCAGCAATGTTAGGGTTAGGCCGTGGGGTCTGGCTCCATCCCCAGGTAGACAGTGTCAAAACCGAGCTGAATGTAGGAGCCCGGCCGGTGTGCAGAATTGCTTGGCGGGGTGGGGAGCAGGGGGTGGGGAGAACTGTAATTGGTGGGCAGAAGTCTTAGGTCAGAATTTGCCCTGACAGCATCCATCTGACAGACTTACACAGACAGCCCGGCCTGGGAGGAAGTCTGGCTTCCAGGAAATGCAACCGTCCTGGCCACCACCCCGCAGCCGGGGGCCCCACCCTGGCCTCCAGCCCCCTTCGCTGCTTCTCACTTGTCCACTAAGAGATGGAGTAGGGCCTGGTGGAGGGTCCAGGCCCCCATGGCCAGTCCCTGTGGGGGGCGATGCCCCCTGTAAGGGCAGTGCTGGCTCGCAGCCACCGCCCCCCGCAGCCTGGACCCTCTGGAATTCTCCCTCTTCCCCTGGGGTGGGAGCCGGGGGCGGAGGGCAATCCTGGGAGGTCAGAAAGAGGAAGCAGCGCCTTCCCACAGGGCAGCAGCCATCAGGAAGGCTCTTCCAGAGAGAATCCAAACCGCACTTTGCAGAAAAGGAAACCCGGCTGCCGAGAAGGCATCCTGTCTGGCCTCAAAGAGAAAGTGCGACTCGCTAGGCCTGGTTGCTTTCCTCGCCTCCTTCCCTGCCTAGTGCTCGCCCCTCGCTGCCCTTACCTCGGGCTCCTTCCTGCGCCCGGCCCGGCCTGCATCCCTGGTGCCCACAGGCGCTCCCTCCCTCCAGGCTCTGAGCCTCCCCAGGAGCCCCTCTCGGGCCTGGGCCTGGCCTGCCCCGGCCCCGAAGTCCACATGGCTTTGTTTAGCCAACTTCGTGCAGAGAAAGCCGCAGACTTTCACAACGCGCTGGAGACAGGAAGGAAGGAGGCAGGGCACAACCACTGAAGGGAGGACACAGCCACTGGGGACAAACAGGTTACAGCCAGGATGGAGGGAGGCTCGGCTTCCAGTTGACCTTGAGCCCCGTGGCGCACCCACAGGCACCATGACAGTTCCAGGCTGACCTTAACAGGTCCACGAGTGGGTGGGGGCCCGATCCCTGGAAATCCCCGCCCCCTCCCCAAAGTAGTTGGAATAACCCTCCTGCTTATTAGCATATGAGATTAAACCCCCGTGGTCCTGCTCTCTCCTGCTTTCCGAGACGTCCCGCACTCCGTCTGTGGAGGGCGCACCTGTTTTTACTTTGAACCCAACACCCCACACCCCTCGGTCTCTCTCGCTCTCACCTGTCTCAGATGGACCACGTTCTGCCCAAGGAGGGTGTGTCTCTCTAAATAAACCTGCTTTCCCTCTCCCGTGCCTTGCTCTTGAGTTCTTTCCTGGACGAGGCCAGACCCTACTCTCCGCCAGCACTCTAATTGGAAAGTTCCCCGCTGACTGTCTCAGGATGCTTACAGGCGGGGTGACCACGCACGCAGGTTTGCCCGGGGAGTCCTGGCTTAATCATCGGAGCTGCAGTTCACTCGCAGAGGGACCTGAGTGTGGGGGATGAATTATAGGACCACCACCACTGAAAGGTCAAAGGCGCGGAGGAAGTGAGGAAGCCTCTCACCTCTCAATGTATTTCCCCAAAGAACACCTGCAGCAGAGAGGTTCCTGCACAAGCTGCCCAGAGGCATCGCCCCCTGAGACGGAGAGGCTGGGGGAGGAATTAGGGGTCCAGGGCAAACTCCACAAACCGACAGTTTAGAGAAGCCGAGGATCCTGACCACAAGGAGGAAGAGGAGCAGGGCAGAGCAGGTTGCCATGGAAACATTGACTGATGCCGCGTCTCTCAAAGGTCTAATCTAACTCGTGGGCATCCTCGGTCCTGCTGGCGGCCGTGACCCTGTGTGTCCTTTGACCAGAGGCAGAGCTCCCAGGAAAGCTGCGGATTCTCAGTGACCGCCGCACCTGAGGCAGACACCATCTCGGAGCTGATTTTAGAAACACTTCTAACCTCGTTTGGAGGGACGTGGGGGTCCTGAAACCGCCTCCTCTCACCTTGCAGGACCCCGTGTTCTCTGTACAACAGGACGGTTTCCCTCGTGTTGGCCCCGATGTCCCTCCCGCCCAGAGAAGTCTGAGCCTGGTTCTGGGCTCCCAGGTTCCCAGGGCTTCGCTGTGAGCAGCCGGGGCTCCCCGACTGTTCCCAGACGGGACAGGCCCATCCCCCGGGGGGTTAGCCAGTGACCACACCAAGTACTTGCGACGAAAGCAGAGGCGTTTATCACGGGTAACAAGCAAGGAGGGAGGGAGACAGCCCTCAGAGCACTGCTTCCCAATGAGACCAGGGCATGTGAAACGGGGCGTGGACGGTCCACCGGGGAGGTGGATGCGAGATGACAACAGGCCAACGTCGAATGTTCAAAACCGGTGGCGACCCACTCCCCCACTCGGGGCAGAGATTCCAGCATCAAAACGAGGCAAAGGTCACCCTAGGTTGACAAAATCTAGGCGTCAGCAAAGGTCCGTCAACACCCCCGTTCCTAACGCACCAGCTAATCTGGCGAGTGAGCGCTTCCAGGGGTTTGGGTCCCGCAAAACATCCCAAAAATGTGCTTCCGCCTGGTCTTTGCCTTTGAAATAGAACAGGGAGGCTCTACTACCGGCTGTCTGTGCTGCAGTGTCCTCTCCCGCCTGACAATGGCTGTTTGTTCCTGCGTCATCTGTTCCGGTATAAAATCATTAGTTACTGCGGACTCCTCTTTGTTTCCATGCGAGACAGGGAGACCACAGCTCCCCTTTCTCCCAGTCATCAGTGCAGGGGACGCACAGAGGCTCTGAAATCCACGCTCGGGTCCTCAACGTGAGCGCATCCAGTGCCTGCGAACAGCTTCTCCCATCACCTGCTATCTCCCTTCTGTAGCCACGACTTGCTCTGGTGTCAGCTCATCAGGATCTTGCTAACACCATCCTTGCTGGATCCAACTTGCACAATCAAAAAGCCCTTGGGTGTTTTTTTTTCTTGTTTTGTTGCTGTTTTGTTCTAAGTTAATTGTAACCCATTAAACCAAAAATCAGCTGGGTGGGTTACTTTGGGTAAATAGATTAGTGTGTAAATCTTTTTTTTTTGACCAAACATATTTCAAAAGCAAATGTGTGTGTGTGTCTGTATTTGGGGGAAAGACGGATGGGGAGGGAGGGAAAGAAATGTTTAGCGTTATCTTCAGGGAATAGGAAAATTTGGAAGTTTCATTTTCTGTTATGTATTAGTGGGGTTTTTTCCAATGAGTTTGTATTAATTTTATGATCAGTAGAGACAACAAAAAAAGTCCAGTTGGACAAAAGCCGATGTAAAGAAAAGCCACCTTATCTGTTTCAACGAAATGTCCTTCCATGCCCACCAGGGCTGGAAGTCCTGGAACTAAGGATCTAATCTGTGCCCAACACAGCCATGCTGAATTACAGAAACCTGCGATCCTGGGGCCTCCATACGGAGACAACCAGAAAGTGGATTCAGCCTCTGAAAAGGGAGAAAAGTAATGGAAGACTGGCTGGGGAGCAGGGGAGCTGGGCCCAGTGCTGGCGGCCGGGCAGAGTGCAAGGTGGCGGGCAACGCTGCCCGGGGAGGGCTGCGCAGGGCACGGAGACCCAGGCTGAGGCAGCCTTTCTATTCAGGGAACTCATACATCTTCTCAACGCCACCCTACAGCCAATGAATGGAAACAAAGGCCCCCTTAACCCGGAAGACGCAAGAAGCAGGGGGAAAGGGGCCAGAGGGACACCCCAAGCTAGACAGAGCAAGGAGGCCGACAGACGGACGGATGGAAAGCCGCACAGGGAAGGGCCGGGGCCGCCTCACCTGCCTGCCAGGAAGTGGCCCCGTTCTAATCCGGAGGAGCCGCCAGGGGCTGGCCTCGGGCGAGGAGGGCCCAAGCCAGGTCAGTTCCAGGCCGGCCCCAGGGCTGCTGGCTGGTGACCTCCAGTCACCTGGCCAAGCCGTGGCTCCCGGGGAACCAGCGCGGCTGCTCCAGGTGCCCCTCTCTGGGCCCTGCCACGTCCAAGGACAGGTTGCCACACACAAGAACTGTAAAGGACCCACCCCGACCCGGGGTGCCCTGCCATTTCCGACTGTAAAGTTGCTCTCTGGCCTGCGGGGCACGCCTGATGCGGTAACCCCCAACGGCTGGCTCAAGGCATACCCGTGAGTCCACCCGACCTCCGGCGGTCTGGTAACAGTCATTCTCCAAAGGGTAAGTTATCCATCCCCCGCCATGAAAGGGGGGAGTTTCAGGTCTCCCGTACCCCCTTCCCGCTCGGGTCTGGGCTGCGGAGGAGCGCGTCGCGGGAGCGGCACCTGCCGGGCGCCGCCCCCAGGGCCGCATCAC